ATATAAAATTTTATAATGAAGATTTTGTTAAAAACAAAAAAAGATAACATTTAGCTACATTTTCCCCTTTCCCCTGTGTACATTGACTCAGGGAACACCCTGTATTGTCAAAATTATAACTTCACTCTATGAAATTAAATCTGGATAAAGTTCACACATAGACTGATGAGAAATCCGGTACCAGTCAATTTTCTAGGCCCATCCATCTTCCTTACATAGAATATGGTTGTCAGCTCTTTCATGGGCCCAGAAAAAGAGAATAGAGCCTCCATCTTCTCCTTGGCCATTAGATTTGGTGCCTCTAGGCCTTTCATGCCAGGTTAGCTAAAGGCATGTGGGACCCTCCCCCAAGATCTCTGTCCTCCCTGGTACCCACCTGGTCATCTGTACCCATGGTACTTCCACCCTGAAACACTACCATGGTCCAGAGCCCTCCAGGCACAGAATGCACAGTCCAGGAACCCCTCCTCAGGCTCTTTCTTCAACTCTTAGGAAGCTAATGGCAAGAATATAGGATTCAGTGATAGCTCAGGGTTTATTCCATCACATTAAATTCTCAGTAAATCACTCTTTGTGAGTCAATTTAAATAATGCAATGTAGACAACTAGGGAAAACTCTATATTCCTGGGCAAGGTTCTGCCAGCCAAATAATACATTTCTCAGATTATGTTTCATTCATCCTTTTGTCTGCTAGCCATTCTTTGTCAAAGTCTCTCTTTTCACAAAGAAAACCTTTCTGGTCTAACACATAGCCACTATCTCCTGAACTTTGCTATAGACCAGAATGTCTTCTGAAGTCTCTAGTCCAGTGGTTACCAACCTGTGGGTTGCAACCCCTTTGTGGGTCAAACGACCCTTTCACAGGGGTCGCCTAAAACCATCAGAAAACACATGTTTCTGGTAGTCTTAGGAACCAAGACATGGTTCCTCTATACATCTCCAGGCGGGTCTGCCCACATGCAAGATGACATTATGGCACCAACCCCATCACATACACCTGGTGCAAATATAGGTGTATGTGACTAGGTTGGCACCATAATGTACTTACGTGGACCATTCACACATGTATAGAGAGCAGCTGCTGTGTAGAAAGCAGCTGCTGTGTTGAAAGCAGCTGCTGTGTTGAAAGCAGCTACTGTGTTGAAAGCAGCAGTATTGGAGGTAAAACAATACTTCATGAATTCTAATTAGTGGGTAAATGTAAAATCATGTACCGTAAAGTCATCAACTACTGCAAAATATATATATATGTCTGTACCGTGGGTCTTAATCTGGATGCTGATCGGTCTTGTTATATTCAGCTGTGGTTGATGTGAATACTGCCCCCTTATGGTAGTAACAGGTATGTAAAAAACAACACAGAATGGTAAATCATAGGAAAATTTAATGAACTGTATTGACTGAACTATGCCATGTATCATCTTTTGTATTATTAAAGCTGTTGTTGGCTTGGCGCCTATAGCTCAACCGGCTAAGGCGCCAGCCACGTACACCTAAGGTGGCAGG